GTGAAATATAATGACTGCAGAATACAGAAACACTGATATTAATAGGAGCTATAGAGTGAATGAAATATTATTATCAGTGTATTTATATACAATAATAATGTTCATGTGGTTAACTGTGTAAACTGACAGAGGTCACACATACAATGATTATAAACATGAATCCATCAATAAAAATGTTACCATAATAACTAACTGTAATTAATTTGTGTATTTTTTATTTTCCACTATTTTGTTACTGTATAGGATATACTAGTGATAATGATTGGTCTACTAGTGTAATACCTCTGGACCAGTATCAAGATCAACTAAGAAGAAGGATACTGAGTGATTGGGAGAGTTTTGAGAAACAGATTGAAATATTTCAAGATTGCCTACAATTACAAAAAGAGAAGGAATTCTGCTATCAGGAACAGCTTCAAAGAGAAATAAAAGAGAAGGAGCAGATACAGCAAGATCAAGACAAAGAGCAGCAACAGCTTCTTCGAGAAAAGGCAGCACTTAGTCAGCAACTTGATGATGCTACCACTCTCCTTGAGCAAGCAGAAAATGATAAATCAACTCTTGAATTAGGTACTATTGTGTTGTACTGTTGTTTATGTGTACATTGTTTACATTATAATACTAGTGGATTAGACAATGTTGAGTATGGAAATAGTATCCTGTACTCAATATAGGTCAAATTTTCCATGCATTAGAAATAATGAGATTGATGTAGAGTGAGCTCTGCTTACCATATATGGTATTATTAGCAATAATCATAGTACATGTATTTATGGGCAACTGTACATGCAGTGCAAATTCGTATAAGCAACAAATATCATTTAATTTTCTATATTTGTATTTTTATTGATAATAGAATATTATGAAAAGCTTAAAGCTAAGGATGCTGAAATATTGGAAATAAAGACACAAGTAGAGGAGAAGAAACAGATTATTACTGGTTAGTGTATCATCAGTACATCATATTAGATGAATGAATATTCTATTGATGTAGAAGATTATGAGAAACTGAAACTCAAAGTAGCTGATATGGAGGAACAATATCTCAAGGAGAAACAGATCATTATTGGTTAGTTAACTATACACACAGCATGTAATAGATCGGAGAATATGTTTATTGTGTAGACGACAATCAAAATCTCATTTCTGAGAAAGACAAAGTTATAGCCAAACTGACATCGAATGAGAAACAGATTATTACTGGTTAGTGTATCATCATCAATCAATAATAATTATTAATATTCTATTAATTTATAGACCTTAAAGAAAAGGAGTTGTACATAGCCAAACTAGTGAAGGAAAGACAAGAGAGGGTCCTCAAGCAACCTATCAAAGAGACTAGTTCCATTGGACTACAATTTAATTACCTGATCCCTTCAATGGGTAAGTTATTCATGTACATGTACATGTACACATGTGAATGATTGTGTGTGTACTATACTGGTATTAGATATGATGTGTCTGTATTGTTTCAGATTCATTAGACTCTAGTATCATTATAGCTGGACAGAAGCTCTTTATCCTACAAGGAGACAGGTCTCACTCACTCCAGTGGGAGAAATATGGATTCAGCTTAGAGTGTCCTCAAGGAGCAGTGTCCAAGGATACCGAAGTAGCTGTTACTGCACTAGCTGGTGGTAATTTCAAGGTACCCAAAGGTACTGTGCTAGTGAGTGCAGTATATGCAATATCAGTATCTAAGGCACTATTAAAACCACTGGTAATAGAGCTGCAACATTGTGTGGATCTAAGAAACACTAGTCAGACTGGTTGCCTCAAGTTTGTGAGAGCTCCACTGAAGTTTCCCAATGCTTACCAGTTCAGTATAGTTGAAGGAGGATCTTTTAGTGTAGGGAACAGATATGGTTGTATTGAACGTGATGAATTCTGTGCTCTTGGTATTGCACATGTTGGTAATGGAGACATACCTAATGGAGGTGGGAATGGATCAGAGAATGATACACAAACTCAAGGTATACAATAGTGATTGTATTAATAATTTACTGTTGATGTGTTTGTATGATGTATAGGAACAAATAATGATAGTGAGGAGGAGACTATTGGAGACACACCTAATGATAGCAGTAATGGAGCA